CGCATATATGTGTGCGCTTGCTGTGTATTGGCGCATCCCAGCTGGCCATATGCACAGCCTAATACAGCCAAAAACCAACTAGTATGGAAAAAATGGCGGTAACATAAAAAACAGTGTACTTTGTTGATATGAATAGTGGAAGAAAGGGCAAAATAATTAAACTCGGTAACGGTGACTAACTACACAGCAACAAACATTTCAGTGATCTATTTACAAAACAAAGACCAATCAAAGATGCCAAAAAGCGGACGAGTTAAACCAAGCATCAAGTGTGTGTAGCATCTCTTTCACACACTGAATCCAGTTGCTGTTTGAGGACCCAGCAATGGGGGCTGAAATTTATGTCTCACCAGCCTCATCCCAACTTCGACAACAAGTACTAGCGTGAACCTAAGCCGACTACCTTTTCAGGCAATTAAACAAGAAACCTTGGCGAGTTTTGCAATTTTCATGGACTTCCTTGTCCCAGTCTGAAAGAAGAGTCATTGTTAATGACCAAAATCTCTATGACGAAGGCTTTGCAGGAAGCATGACACAGTGAGTGTCATAAAAACCTGGACTTTATTATTTAATGCTCGACATACCGTGAAAAATCATGATGCCATGAAATTTTATAAACAGCAGCGCGCACTAGGGTAGCTAGTGTAATCATGCGTTTTTGTGCAACCTTGCCCAGCGAATGCTTGTGCAATTCCGCTTGGGGGACGCTCGTGTAACCCTGTCCAACTGACACTTGTGCAACTCTGTTTAGGGGGACCTGGCTGTTAAAAGTGCCCACTGCATTACTGTTTGATACATTCGGAAATTTTTGTGGTTCCCAAGTTATCAATTTTGGCGACAAAATTTTCACTTTTCCGTACGCGAGACCTAGATGTGCGCAGGGACTAATAGGCGAGAAAAGAAAATTATTCTGAAATTTCAACCCCCTAGCTTTTCTGATTTTCGAGTTAATAATTTCCGCGTTAGAAGTTCCACATGCCGTGAAGTTGAGGCAAGCGTGAAGGCTGATTTTAAATTTACGAAGTCGTACGCGAGCAGCGGGTACTTTCATAAAATTTTAGCCTCCTAGCTTTTATGATTCCCAAGTTATTAATTTTGGCGCCAAAACCTTCACTTGTTTGTGCACGGGATCTAGGCGTGCGCGAGAATGAATCTGTACGTGGCAGGGAACATTGTAGAGCATTATCCTAAAACAGCTCCACAGCTCTTCTGGCCCCCGAGGTAACAATTTTCAGGCCAAAACTTTCGCGTGCCCATACCTGAGACCGAGGCATGCGTGACGGCGGATTTCAAATTACGGGGTCGTACGCAGGCAGAAAACATTTTCGTAAAATTTCAACCATCCTGTAGTTTCCGAGTCACTAATTTTAGCAACAAAACTTTTATTTGTCCGTTCGCGAGACACAGGCATGCATGGGGATGAGTTTATAAGGGGAAGAACTACTACCTTAAAATCTCAGCGTCGTAGCTTCTGAGGTTTCCGAGTTAATTCTGGAGCGAAAACTTTCGTGTATCCATACCTAAGAATTAGGAGTGCGTAGA